AATTCAACCCCACACTTTATGACATCTGACTACTGAATGCACCGATTAATTACCACCATAATTAATGCTGAGGGCCTATTAGCGATTGATGGGGAATATAATGGCAGTTAGGGAAATAAAATGTTTTGAGTTTCTATAGTTATTACATTTTATAGCCATGTGAACAATAGGTACAATAAAAAATTGAGGTAAGAGAGAAGTAGCTTTTATAGAGACAATTTTCCTGGATAACTTGATCGATTATGACTATTTTAATATTTTAAAATAACTATTGTGTAAGACTTTGAAATATCTGTTTCGTATAAAGTTTGATTTTTAAGACGCAAAGGAAGCAATTGGAAAAATTCCAAGTCCTCGGAATTAGTTCGAATTTTGTTTATTATAATTATTTGCTCCAGTTATTCGTTTAGTTTCCTTCTCTCCCCTGCGTAATGGGAATGTACCTATGTCCCCATAAAACTATAGTTGGAGGAGTTGACAGAAACAAGTAAAGAATGCGCCTAATTTAATTTAGACAATTTACCGTTTTTAGAAGCGTCGTGGCTTACGGGCGCAGGCTTCTCGGAAATCGTAAACGCTGTGCGCCCGCGCAGCGTTCACGCAACCTGTATAAAGACCTGTCAAATGCCACTATACCTTTAGAAATAAAGTCCAAAATCGTTTGCCTGTAGTCAGTAACCAAACTTTCTTTCGTACCGGCCACGAGGATTCCGATCTCGTTCTGTACTCCTAATAAGGTGCTCGTAAAACCTTATAATAAAATTATAATATTAACTTAATGAATATCAAACTGTCAACATACCTATACTTGAGTAAATTATTTTAAAAACTCAATATCTTTCGATTTCATACCGACAATAGTTCAAGTACAGCCTATGAATCTACTAGGATATAAAAAGTGTTGTTAGGTACCTACACGTTATGTAATGCCCTCATATAAACCTCACTCAAGAAAACATGATATTCGAGGTGAAAATAATTATGATCTTTGGCATGATTTATATTATTTTATATTTATTTCAAGTTTTTCAAAATACAAAACAAGGGGTGACAAATTGGTATAATTCTCTAATGGTACGGCATACCATTCAAAATAAATAGATAGGTACCTACTTAAAAACATAATAGGTACCTACTACTAGGCCTAATAAAGTAAACATTACTTGCTTTGTTATCATTACCTCGAAGTTGCACTAAAATATCATACTAAATGATTACTAACTAAAGTTTTAATACCTCCGATGAACCAATTTGGATATTTTTCAATACAAAATTATTATTCGTACAACTACCAAACAATGTTCATCAGTGCAATCTTTTATTCATAAGTTTTTCTGTAATGGACTTACCACCTTCGCGAAAATGTTTTTGGAGCGTATTACAACTGTAATAAATCCAGCTTTCGAACTCGTTGCATAATTACGAACACGTGTAAAATTAGAAGCTGGAGAAATTCGTTCCATACAACTGTTCGTGGCAAGGTGCACGACGAACATTCGCTTCGGGGCGAACTCTATTCAAATTCTATATTCAAATTAACCGTAACTAGTCCAAAGCAAGAATTTCATTGCAGCTATAATTATAAATAACGTATAATTATAAGTATTTATAATGACAAAGACTATCGTATCAAGAATATCAAGTGGAGACATTTTAATTAAATTATATTGTGCGCAAGTAATTTTAAAATAACTGAATATCTATTATCTATGCTAATGTCACCTTTAAATCTAGTGTCTATTTGTGTCCGAGGCGTAGTCTGTATTTAACTTGACCGCCCTTTCAAATTACACCGGCGCGGCAGCGGCAGACGTGAATTTCATGTAGGCATGTACAAAAATAAAGTAAAACAATATATTATGTACAAACTTATATCCCACGATCTTGCTATTAAAATTAAAGCGTTTTCAGGCATTTAATCGAATACGTGAAACAGTTGTTTAACTTTTTTTGCAAACTTCTACGCGGGCATACAAACGTAATTAAAGTTAAAACATTTAGCTTAACTTCCATTAATAATAGCGATAATTTCTTTGAATTACACGCTGTAATTACTCAAATCCGTGTCCAATTTTATTAAGCCTTATTTGTATTCCAAAACACCATAACGAACCATACTTGCGAGTCATTCACACGTAAGAAATCAATAGACTCAGCAAAGTCCATCTCCATATTTTCCATGTCATTACCGTCGGCTTATTAATATCCTATGCCGGTCAAAAGTTAATCGGGTTTAAGTCACTCGCATCGCCCACGAAGATTCATCACAATCGTCATTATTCACACACGAATTATGTAATTTCAATAAATGGAGCTTATTGAATAGTGATGAACGTCGGTAGGCCGCGGTGGAACCCCCGTGGAGTTACTCCTACCACTATCTGGCAAGCTTTAAACTAACCTTTTGTGATTACATACATCTCTTCTCTCATACTACACTTTTGTTTATAACCCCGATAACTCGTCAATGGATCTCATGACTTCGTGAAATCGTCGATTAATTCGAAACGTTGTAGTGAACATAGTAAGGAACTCTCCCAATAAGCACTTAGATTCTCATTGTCTAAAATAAATGTATTTTGTTTGGATAAATCGAGCGGGTGCCAGCCGAGGTCGCGGTGGGTGTTAATGATTCTCTAGTTAATATGGAATATTGACTCGCATTCGAAAATCCAATTGCCTCTTTTGATTTTAAGGTTGCGGGTTACGAGGTTCACACGCCTGATTATTATAAATGTTCGTAGATCGTATTTTAAAGGCTACAGTACACTACGAAGAATTGTCGACCTGTTTCGTTTGGTGTTTGCTGAAATATGCCTGAATATGGTTTAAATCTTCCAAACTCTTATCGCTTTGATCTAACGTCTGTCTAGTGGACCTGGTGGTTCGCGTACCGGACTACAAAGCTGCTGTGGCACCAACTTTAAAGCCCGCGAGGGACACATGTTATGTGATGATGATTGATATAAAAAATACCCTTATGTCCAAAGGGTACTACAAGGTTCGAGACTATATTGATGACAAGGATGCGTGGTCAGTTCAGTCTGCACATATGTATTTGATGTACTCGAATTTGGTTATTCTTAGCGTTAGATAATTCCCGGCAATTAGTGGTGACTGAGTTTGTTCCGGCGTTTCTTCTCAGCACTTGCCATATGTTTGTCTCGAAGCGCTGGTAGGGCCCAAAAGATAAGGAGACATGTAAAGTGCCCCATAAGGGCTAACTTTTCTTTTTTATCATTTTCTATAATAATTTTGACGTTCATAAGTGCCACTTGTGGTCTAAACTGAATAAATACTTTTGATTTTGATTTTGATGAGCTGAGCAATCATCTCTACCCGTAGTTATAGACGTTTTAATTGAAGAAAATGTCTTAATCCCAACTAATATTATAAATGCGAAAGTAACTCTGTCTGTCTGTCTGTCTGTTACGCTTTCCCGCTTAAACCTCGCAACCGATTTTGATGAAATTTGGCATAGAGATAGTTTGAGTCCCGGGAAAGAACATAGGATAGTTTTTATCCCGGTTTTTGAAACAGGGACGCGCGCGATAAAGTTTTTCTGTGACAGACAAAATTCCACGCGGGCGAAGCCGCGGGCGGAAAGCTAGTCATAGATAAAGCAAAGAATATAACAGGTTCTCCATCTTCCATTAAACTGGAAGTGATATCTCGAGGTTTCCGTGTTGCATTCACAGACAGAACAGCGTGTAGTGAATGCACGTAATTTATCTTCAGCTAAAGAAAGGAGCACAATAATAGAGCGTTTAAGCGAGCTCCCCACACGTCCATAATTGATTTATAGGCAAATATTAAATCTGTTCTCACCAGGCCTCTCGATGACTAATGACCGGCCCGGAGCTGTTCAACGTTTTGTTTTTCACCCATTTATCCATGCTACGTACTCAGCACAGCTTGATTGACACACCGTTACCCGAACAAAGAATTTTAGCATCCCATTCAATAAGCGTTGTTAAAGTGAATTTGTTTTTTACTAATCCAGGCTACTTATCGATCACGCGCGCGGCCGCTGTAACGTCAACAAAACGTCCGGCCACGCCGCATCACACTTATCAAAACAATACAAAACGCGGGATGTTATCGATAATGATCGCGGGCACGACAACCCTCTAACTCCATTTTTTGTGGGTTGACATCGCGCTAATAATACTCATGAGAAAAATGCGCGCCGGACCCCCGTCATCCTCCTTTTGTTTTTAATTTCTACCTCAGTGGCACCGATTTAATTGGGCTCAACTCGAGCGAGCGCACCTTCGTATTTCACCTCGGCTCGCTTCATTTGAATATTTAAAGCATTTCGGGTCCCCACCGCATTATTTTCTTTATTTACACAATATTTATATATTTATTTCAGAGCCAGCGTCATTTATTTGGTGACGTGACTTACCGATGTCGCGTCCTTCCCAGTATCGACATAGTTAACGCGACGAATTCTCTCGCGTTCCATTTAAAAGTTTGGAGTTCTTTCTTTGGTTTGTCTTTTTGTCGCAGCCGCGTGTGGCGAGTTCTGCTCTTCGTTGTTTTCTGGCCAGTTCTTATCTGGGACAAGATTGCTCGTTTTTAAATGAAGTTATATCGCCCCGATTGAACACCGGGCCACGGAGGCGAGGCGAATTTTTAATTAGTTTCCGAAGATAGAGAATTTTAAAGGAGGAATGCGGGAGCCGTGTTGCGAGTGTGCGCGGATTCCTTAATTGAGACGTGGACGCAGCGTCGCGAACATCGTGAGGCGATTTGTTAAAGACGGAGAGATTAATTATGAATTAAAGACTTAAATCGACATCCGTGCAACGGTGCGCGCTGACTGAATTAGCTGGCATTCGCTAATGAAGAGAATTAATGAACGCCATTTTTCGTAGTGCCGTATTGAAAGATCGCGTGATGCCGACTGCGGCGCGGCTCGTCACGTCATTGCTCGCCAATTATGATGTCTTTGTGAGACAAAAAATAAATGGATTCCAATATTATAGGTACGTTTATTAAATTGCTGACAAATTAACAAGCTCATGGAGGCATTCATGCAATAAAAGTATTAATCAGCGGGAACTAGTGCCACAATGTTAAAGCCGATATTATCCGGTTCTCTTTCGATAAACTGGCGGCAAACCTTCGCAGCGTCTTCGAGCAGATTCTCCGGAGTCGTCGGGCCGTGGTTTATTGGGAACGATTTGCGGCCATCCAACTCGAACAGAATACCATCTTTGTGAATGAAAGTTACGAAATGATTGTTCGGAGTTTCAGTGACCTCTTCGCCCTCAGCGCTATCAACGTGTGCGATATCTTTGTAAGCTTCTAGGATTGCCGTGGAATTTTCTAGTAGTGCTCCTTTAGCTGCGGCATCTAGACCTTGTGCATCGTTCAAGTACTTCTTCAGTAATCCATCGTTTATTTCAATGTTGTGCGTATTATTGGCGACGCTGTGAACTAAGGCTATTGTTCCGCAGATATTGCTGAGGACTTGTTTCAAGTGGAACACGTCTTTGGGTGCTTGAGGGCCTTTCTGGAGCAGTTCGTTCTCTTGCTCGCGTCTGTGTTGCTCGTAGGCATCAGATAGAGGGAAGAGCAGGACAACTGCTAGGACAGGGCGAGGCACCCAGTTCAGGGCTTCACCTTCTAGCCCGATGACGTCAACCATCCTCCACTTGTTGGACACGCCCAGCTTCACCAGGTATTTGTTCATCACCTCCGGGTTGGACTCCATAGGTAGAGCGCTTGCCATGGTAGTACAATTAATATATTTTCTTACTGCACAAAAACAAATATTTCGCAACTTGACAGCCGTCCAATTTTGTCAAGAAAACTGACAGTTTCAATGTTTCTTCTTCGGTAATTCATGTCTGCTTCCAGTAAGGAGGATGTGATGAATTATTAAGATTAATTATCTTCATCTTAATTAGGAAAAATTAACCTTCGTTTAATGGCATTTTTTATGTAAAAGCCGTCTGCTTTAAGTACATAAACCCATCTTGCTTATTTGCACACTTATACTGCGCTTCACTTTATTATTGACAATGTGTAATAGTTATTAATTACTACAAAATGGCAGGTGCCTTAATATGGCAGGGCGAACGCCGACATGCAAAAGGTAACTTTTAAGTTCATTAATTTGATAATTTTAATATATTTCTTTAATTTAATGCTGCGCTATTAATGTAGGGCGGCTAGGAGCATGTATGCTGTCAGTTATAATAGCACACTGCCTTATGAATTAAAGAAAATGGATTCATACATTACGTTAAATAGTGCGCTTTGCTGTGTGATAGAGTTTTTGTAAATATAAGCGTTTATCAGTTTTATTAATTGGGAGCAGTCATGCATACTGTTATCCATTAGAACGGTTGTATAGTTACACTTTTCAACTCTTGATAAAATACAGTTTTTACGACCATGTAACTTTGTAAAAGCCTCTTTAATGATTAATACTCGTATGCAATTGCTATTTTTTTTTACACAATTATGGACCTATTTTCGCGGTTTTACCTAAATCTGCAACTGAACTGTTAATGAAATAAAATGGCTAGAATCTTAAAATGGTTAGTAACTTATAAGATTGCCAAACATCGACCTGAATTTACATCACTCTGCAGTGATCTTCAAAACTGATTACTACTTAATTAGGTTAAACGTCACACGTTCAAAATAACGTCTAGGACAAAGGCGTCGAAGTGATGTAAAGTTGGTTGCACTTTCGATGTCTTACGCACCAGGCACCCACAATGGGCTGTTGCGACATGCCCTGCTGCTCTCTCATTAAGGTGTCACATTTTGTCAAGACCCCGCCGTCCATTAGGGCGCCGGGGGCGGGGTTATTGAAAAGCTATCGATACGGGCACACACCGAGCTACGATCGCGAGATATTATGATGATCTTGTTAAATCGATAGTTGAAATCAGTTAACAGGGTTTTAAAATTACAGTAGTTAACGATAACTTAACTTATTCTCCTTGATTGTATGTAGCACACCTGTTCGCGCTAAGTTTGCCGGGATGTTTTTTCGTCTTGTCCCAATACGATCCAGTGTAGTCTTGACAGAAGTTTTTCTTTGATTCATTGAAGACATCTACCCCCACGTGGTTGAATCACTCACTGGAATTTGCTATACCTAGGGTAAGGTGGGGCACAATGTTACACGGGGTACAATGTTAGAATGCATATTTCTCCGTCCCTTTCTATAGTTGTATGATGTTCAGCGGCTCAGTTCAGCAGCTCTTATGAGCTTGACAAACGTGTATACCAACATCATACAACTAATAGAAAGGGACGGAGAAATTATATGCATTGTAACATTGTACCCCGTGTAACATTGTGCCCCACCTTCAAAACCAAATCATAAAAAGGAAAGTTATGACACTAGTTTTTTTCTTTCTTAAAAAGCGATTACTATTTTTTTCTTGCATATTAACATCAATTTGCGAATAAATAGCAATTTGGCAATTTTTTACAATTCAAATGATTAAAATAAGGTAGCAGGATGCAGGCCGCTGCCAATCAGTCATCATGGAAGTCATTGAGGGAGCCCTATGTTCAGCAGTGGACGTCCTATGGCCGAAATGATGATGATGAAATAAGTCGAAAAATTTGCCTTCTCGTTTTCAGTTTTCGACCGTCACTCAAATCTGAATTTCAAAAAATGATTCATCAAATTTGGGTATTACCTATCTCGCGAAGATTCATCTCAGCATCAGTCCCGAGCTCTCAATCTCGTGTGCGCCTGCCAAGACGGGCGTGGCGGCGTGTCGACGCTGACTACCTTCAATTACGGCTAAGAGCGCTTATTATTTAGAAATTCACTCGGTAAATACAATCATCGGTTCGCATGACAACGCGGTCGGCACGCGGCGCTCCATATCCACTGGATGTACACACGACAACACATTTTGTTGCAATATCACCCTTATTTCAACTGGTTAAGAGGAAAGTGTGTAACTTGATGTGCCGTTGTACACTTTCGGTTTTAATAACTTTATTACATTTTGACGGGATCAATCGGTGTCAAAGGAATGAACGTATCATGTGTGCTTGACTTCTGAACTGTTTTCAGTTATTTGTCACCATTGTTCAGGATTCTCGGATCTTTCAAGTTCTTTACAGTAAAAAGACTGTTAAATTGTTTTTGTTTTGTTATGGTGTCATGTAAATACTTTAACTCTGAACAATATTGACTCTTACTCAAGTGTTAAAAATATATAAATAAGGACTTGAAATAAAACATAATTATTATGATTCCATCTAATAATTTATTTCGCCCACGTACATAAATTTCGATAAGAAATGGCTACGAATCTCCACTAGTAACCGCTACGCGTTTGTACTGAACAATTTCAATTGGCGACATTCATTAAAAATTTATAATAAATCTTTAAAATTCTAATTTGGCCGATCTTGGCGCATATTTATCAGTCCCACGTATGGAGGGAGCAGTGAAAAGCCACTTACAGCCAAATCATTATTTTTCAGATTAAAAAAGAAAAATTATAGCTACCGATCACAAGAGCCAAAGTTGAGCTTCGAATAATACGACGTTAAAATAAACAATGAAATACATTAGACAGTCGATCCTAAACTAGTAATCAAAATATTTTTGGTACAGTTATATTTTTAAGATTCGCTTTTTTCCAACTTGTTGATAATGAGGACTAAAGTGTGTATAAATAAAGCTGTTTATCCCATACGAGTATTATTAGTTAATCTTAATTATGGCCGCAATTTTGTATACGGCAGCGCTAATAGTATTTTCGAAACCATTAACAAAATTGCAACTTTGTAACATAGATTGCATCTGCATTTTTAGCGAGATTGTGATAAACATTCTGCCAATTTAATAAAAAAAAATGGTGCAAATTCAAAGCATACCATTTCACATTTTTAATTAACATAAAAATAATATTTCATACGCCAATTTTATCAATAAGTTGAAAAGAAGCACGTCGTGAAGTAAAATATTTTAATACTTAAAATGAGAAATACTATCCTAATGAGAAATACGTAACACCGACATAATAGTATGGAAAGTTAATACTAAAACCCCCTTTAGATTATAAATATATTCATGCCCTAGACTACTACTAGTCAAATCCATTAAAACTCAGGTAACTTATTTGTGTACTTGATTAATATGGCCGAACATTCGTACGTACTACACAGCAGCGTATAATAGTAATTTCATAGAACAGGTAAACTGACAAGTGACAAGTAATTGATTATATTAAGATCTTGAAACATTTGTTATAAATGATTACTTGTAAAGTTCACCAAATATCAATTGCCGATAAGAAAAAATGCACCTGTCAGAAGACTGGTTGAATCCCCCTACACGGTTAAAAATGATTTAAAAAACTAGTAGTTAACTTTGTCTACCAAGAGATGGCGCTGCCTGCACCTTAGATCGCGGTGGCAATTATTACCATCAAACACATTGTAGTACAAATCAACCCGCAGGTTTAAAAAGGTAGGATTAACGTGCATTATTCCTTATCGGGTAGCTGCACCTTTGTAGGTATATCTCTTATGATAAGTATGTAATAAAATAAAATTTCAGGCTACATTTTGTAGTAACATCAACGCACTACATGTTAAATACAAAACTAGTAAAAAAGCCATTAGATATACAGTCACGAATAGTATACACGAGTAAACAGATAAAAACAGCTGTAAAAATCTTGAACAAATGTTCGTTGGTAAAGTGATCATAAATCCTAACTCTTATGTACTATTATAATATGTATATTTAAAAAAAACTACTGTATGTATAGTATGAAAATATCACTTGGTTATTGGTAAGACATGTAGAAAGACAGTGTAAGGTTTTCAGTTTGTTTGTTTTAGATTTCATTAAATCTATAAATTCTTTTAAATCAAAGTATTAAAGTCTGAACATCGAAAAAACGTGTTATAAAAGGAATGACATCATGAATTAAGTGACGCGATTTTTAAAGTGTGTTATATAAATAGTTTTATATAATTATTTTTTAATTGAAATTAATTTTGAATGATGTCATTATAGGTACCAATGATGGAATAAGTTTTGAAAAGATTTAATACTATATTTTGATAAAAACTTGAGATCCAAATAATGAAGCAATTTGACATGTACCAATATTTCATAAAAATATAAACTACGATTACAATCTAGACACTAAGTTACTTGGACTACACAATGCAATAATAGTAAAGTAATTGCGATCATAATAAAATTGATTTATATCATGTATAATAAGAAAAGTCAAAATACTTTAAAAAAAGACTTAAGTATATAAATTGCACAGTTTACATTTGCATTGCAGTATTTGCAGTATGTCTGATAAAAATATGTTTAATATTACTAGATATTCGTTAAAAAAAATCATGTCATTTGTACGAATTTCGCATAATGCTTTACGGTATAATTGTTTTTCGCTAATATGAGCGATATATAAAATCTATGATGAATACAAAATATTTTTAGAAGACGCAAAATTTCAGATTGAGCTCTTTCCTGGACTGTTTTGCCCAAATGCAATGGTTTTTTTCTTTATCATCAACATGATTACAATAAGAACGATGATAATGTCCAGTTGCTCGATTATTAATACATAAAAATACTTAGCATAATATTTCCTATATAATTATGAACTTAAGCATAATATCTGTGTAAAAATAGAAGCATCATAAGATATACAATGTATATTATATTTTCAATTTGGATTGGACGCAAATATAACCTAGAGATCCGGCATAATATATTTTTAGAAAAAAGTCCACAATATACTTAGCTGCTTCATTTTGAGCAAGAATTTTAGATTGCGCTTATGTATTTGCATGATGCATATAATATTTATTGCTGCCGATATAAATAAAATAATTCATTCATATTTGCATGATACATAAAAATATTTTAAAAGTCTCATTTAAATTTTATATTTCATAAACCCAAACGTATTTACCCAACTATAAAACGTTTTAACATAAAGCCAATTTAAAAATATAAATGAAAATGACTTATGACAAAGTTAATACTTTTTTTTTAGGAATTATAAAAGCATATTTATCACAATTATAAAACGATCCATATTCTATGGATTTGAAATAGATAAAAATATTTTCACAAGAAATGTGGATCGGTATTAAATCAAGATAGCAGCAATTTACTGCCCATTCAATTTACTATTTTATTTTCAAATGTATTTATTTAGTGTAAACAAAAAGATAATAATTAAACTACAAATAGTAAATCACGTGTACTATGGCGCAGATGCATAAAAAATAAATGCAAACACATCTATATAAATATAATATTATTATCCACTTTTGGAATGATATGCTTAGCTAAGTTTATTCTTATAATATTAAAATAATTGTTGAATAAAATAGCATATAAATTTTAGTAATGAGCCCCAGCGTAACATTCAATCTAAAAAATGCAGTAATCACGATAATAATCAATTTTTGGATGAAAATAAAATAAACCTTTGAGCTACTAGATAATGTTTTTATCTGGATTTAATGATAATAATTTGATTTTAATAAAAAATACGTAACAAAAACTCGTTTAAACATATTTCATTTAAATATTTAGTTTGGTCTTTCCAGAGGATTAGTATTGGGAAAAATAAACACTAAACCCTAGGAGTGGCTACACTACTTTTTTTACTACTAATGATACCACTCACACGAAAATAGTTACCGTGTTTTTCTTGTTATTACAACACAAGCTAGTGTGATTAAATAACAAAGGCCAATTGTTTACTAAAGCAAATCCAACTAACTTTAATAAATCATATCATAAAATGGTATCATTCGTCAGTGTTTCATTCGAGTTACTGTAACTGTAACTGTACGTAAAATGCAATTTTGTCATTTTCTATTCGATTTTTACTGTTGTTTCAAGTGTTAAATTACAAACTTGAATAATAAAATAATTGTGCACAATCGCACTGATAATACGATAGTGTTGCATCTCAAAATATGAGTCGATTCTGAAAGTCGACAGTTTAATAAACACTAACAGGGCAGGCATATACCATCCTACACAAATTCCTGTCCAGATTCCAGTCAAAAACTTGCTTTGTGCTGCGCAAAAAAGTCACATTTTGAGTTGCAACACTATAGTATTGTCAGTGCGTATGATACATACATAAATAATAGGCTAGTTTTCTAAAAACAAAACTTTTAGTTCGTCGGTTACATTACCAAAAAATATTGGACACGTATATTTTTATTTGCAAATCAAACAAGGTAATTACTAAGTTATGGTGCGTTGAAGTACCGCGCGACGTCACAAACTGCTACATTTTTAATAAGCACACCTTGACACCACGGGCCTCTTCTTTAGAACTTTGACGCGCTGTATCTCTTTTAACTTTCATTAGTTTGAAAAAGTTAAAATTACGTGTGGAGTATTTTTTGATAAGTTAACCGACGGACAAACTTTTTTACCCAGGAAACATCCCTATTGGAAGGAGACACGTCAATGATGATAAACCATAATAATAGTGGTGTTACCTACGCTTTGGCGTTAACAGTGCGACTCGCCGTTCTCGTGGTGACCCGAGTCGAAGCTGCTGAGGTGGCCGAGCCCCTTGGGCGGGATGGGCGGCGGCGTCTCTTCTTCATCCACGCGAAGCGGCTCCGACATCATTGAGATTATCTCCTCGTAGCGGAGGGACTCCACTGCTAGGTCGAGATCTGGTGGTGTAAGGAAGATTATTGTTGGTCATTAAAACCTTGGTTAGAGCATTTTAAACACAAAACATTGATTTTTTTATTGTAAACTAGCGGATACGACAGACTTCGTTCTGTCAAAAATATTTGGAATGTGACAGTTTAGAAAACGTTTGTATGGGAAAAAGAAAAGGGCTTTCTCGGAAATTATTCGAATTTCTCTCGCCGTAAAAACCAACCTTGGACTTCAACGAACATAAAAAAAAGAATTGGTAAAATTGGTCTAGGGGTTGTTGAATTATACGCTTACCAACACATTTTGCGATTCATTTTTTATTATATTATAACATAGCTTGTGTTGACACCACAGCACTGGGGGCGCCACTGTCTAGAAACGTCACTTGTCTAGCAGCAGTCAACACCAAGCAAAGCTCAGCCAATGAGGTCTCATCAACTAACAATGTACCAGTGTCTCTGAAATCTTCCTACATTCTTCTGATTAAATTAGTTGCGGGTTTCAATGCAGTAAGCTGTCCCCTAGAATACGCAACCTTCACAGATTTTATTGGAGGCCAAGCTGTACATCCTTGGTATACAGGAGTTGCAGTGGTAAGAAAGAGAGATGGGATTAGTCCCGTAACAATGTTATAGCCTGACCAGGAACATAAAAACCCTGGCATAGAGGCGCGTCAATTGCATTTGATAGTGCAACACTGAGTACAGTCGTACCTGTGTTAAATTAATAGGCTAACTTTATGTATCAGGATTCAGGATTACGGGCTAATTTGATATTTTCATAAATTAACGAAAAAATATTATTAAAGGTAACCTGGTTTAAATAAATTAAATTAAAACATCAATCGAGCTAGTAGGATTTATTTTATTATTCATCAATAATCAAATTCAGAACTTGAATATTCAACTGCAATGTCTGCTCATGAACGCTTAAAACTCGGTACTTCTTTCCCAATTCCATAAAATTCAACACTTAGAAAGTGACAAAAAACTTTAAAATAGGTAGTTGAAACAAACAACAGCTAATTTTCATAGTGGACTGTAAATACGATAAACATGTTAGTCAATTTGACACCCTTGTCGGAAAAATTATTCAATGAAAATATTGTCCGAACCCTTAGTATTTCTCTTCGACAAATACTTTAACACATTGTGAACCACTTTTCTTTCACGACTATAAAAAGATTTTAGCAATTTAATTCACAAAATCAATAGCGCGCATTTAAAATAAAGATTGTTTACACTTTGACAGCAATAGACTGACATGCAAGGTGACATGTCAATGAAGTTTTCAGTTACTGTTGCCATTAAAAGAAATTAGTACCATTAGTTTTCCGAAACATGGCGAGGGTTTTTATGTTCCTGGTCAGGCTATAGTGTCATACCGTTCTGATGCAGACGATGATCGTCAGCGTTAGTGTAAGCGTGTGCGTCCACGCTTACACCAGAGTCGCGTTCATCAGCTGCCTCGGCCGGCCGGTTGGCGCGTCGAGGGACCGCTGGGGGTGCCTCAGTCCAGGAACGCTTGTCGCCTGCGAAGAGATAACAGTCAGCATTATTTACAAGGGATACTAGGACCTGGACGTTGTTTTTTTTATGTGACAGGAGGAAACGAGCCTATGGATCACCTGATAGGAGACTTATGCCCGTTTACACCATCAATCCCTAATCTTTATGTGACCCCTATGAAAACAAAATGCCTGCAATAAGATTAATGGTGAAAACGGGCATAAGGCTGAGTAGCACCACCTAACTTTGACCGTGACTATAACGATAACCATTACTTTTTGTATGGAGTTTGACAGATTTTTTACGTTTGTCAAAGTTAAAGTAAGATGGTGCAACTCAGCCTTAGGTTCATATATTAATCATAGTTCGTATAAAACAAAGCTTGATTCAATTTCATTCATAGATTTCGTCCGGAAACACGTGTTTTGTTTTAATAGTAAAATATAAATTAGGAAAATAAATAATTTTACCTGAAACCCTTGGAGGCAGAGGGGGCGCGTCGCCTGGCTCGCTCCAAGAAGCGCGACTGTGCCTGCGAGTCTCCACCACTTCGCCGTCTATGGACTCGCTGTCACAACAAAAAAGTTTTACCATATTATTCCTAGAAGAGTATTTTTTAAATATTCGATTTTTAAATTGTAATCGAGATCCAATCGATTGCAGCCCCAGTTAGCTAGGTAAGCAACTACTTGGGGTGCGGTGGTGAGGGACCTCCCCGTGGTGCACCCCGGGCAACGGCCGCGTGTTCTGTCACGCGGGCGGCTGACTTCTCACCGGCGCGGCAGGTTGCGTCAACTCGGCGGGCCTGTCGGGCAACCCGTAACCCCCCAACGGAGGGGGGCCGGGGGCCCCGGCTACGGAAGTCGGGGCCAAGACAAGGAAAAGTCTTTAAAACCCTCAAATGCCAAGGTCTGGGGGGGGGCCGAGGAGCAGTGTCGGGTGTTATTAGCCT